ATTTTTGGGATTTTTTTTCATTTTTTGGGGTTTCCCCTGTGGTTGGTGACGATTTTCCGTTGCTGCTCCGTTATCTCCCGATTTATTTTCATCTCCACATCCTCCAGAATGACTCAGTCTTGCCACAGGAAGTAGAAAAATAAGAAAAATAAACCCAAAAAAGTCACTGGAGGTGCTCAGAGCTTTGCTTTGGGGTTTTTTTTTTTCGGGTTTTTCCAGGGTTTTTTTTCCCAGCTTTTCCATCTGGAAATGTCGGATTTTTTTGGGATTTTCCTCGTGGAGTCACCAAATTCAAAGGCAAAAAAATTAAATTTTCCATAGGGGGAGGCTGGGTGGGATTTTTGGGAAGGATTTTGGTGGATTTGGGGTTTCTGGGAATGTCGGATTTTTTTAGGATTTTCCTCGTGGAGCCCAAAAAGGGAATTTTCAGGGGGTTTGGGGTGAGGATTTCACTGCAGTCCTGGCCAGGGAATGCTCCTGTCCTGCCTCTTCCCCTAAAACCCATCCTAACCTTCCCCTAAACCCCATCCTAACCTTCCCCTAAAACCCCTCCCAACCTTTCCTTTTTCCCTAAAACCCCTCCCAGCCTTTCTTTAAATTCCATCCCAAATCCTTCCCTAAACCCATCCCAAACTCTCCCCAAACCCTTCCCTAAAACCACCTCGACCTTTCCCTAAATTCCATCCCAACCTTTCTCCAAACCCTCCCCAAACCCACCCCAATCTTTCCTTAAATTCCATCCCAACCTTTCCCTAAACCCATCCTAAACTCTGCCTAAACCCCATCCCAACCTTTCCCTAAAACCCACCCTAAACCCATCCCAAACTCTCCCCAAACCCACCCCAATCTTTCTTTAAATTCCATCCCAACCTCCCTCTTTTCCAAAACCCCATCATCCCTTCCCTAAAACTCATCCTAAACCCATCCCAACCCTTCCTAAGCCCATCCTAAACCCATCCCAAACTCTCCAAACCCATCCCAACCCTTCCCTAAAACTCATCCTAAACCCATCCCAAACCCATCCCAACCTTTCCTTAAACCCCATCCTAATCCTTCCCTAAAACCCATCCCAACATCTCTCTTTTCCAAAATCCCATCCCAAACCCTTCCCTAAACCCATCCTAAACTCTCCCCAAACCCATCCCAGCCTTACCCTTAACCCATCCCAACCTTTCCCTAAACCCCATCCCAAACCCTTCCCTAAACCCATCTTAAACCCATCCCAACCTTGCCCTAAAACCCATCCTAACCCCTTCCCTAAACCCCATCCCAAACCCTTCCCTAAAACCCATCCTAAACCCATCCCAACCGTACCCTAAAACCCATCCTAAAATCATCCCAAACTCTCCCCAAACCCATCCCAGCCTTACCCTAAACCAATCCCAACCTTTCCCTAAACCCCATCCCAACCTTTCCTTAAATCCCATCCTAATCCTTCCCTAAACCCATCCTAAACCCTCCCCTAAACCCATCCTAAAATCATCCCAAACCCATCCCTAACCCTCCCCTTCCCCCGCACCTGCCACCTCAATTTCTCACAGCAAAAACACAAATTAATTTCTTTATTTCTCCTTTTTTTTTCCCCGCACCTTTTGGGGCTTTTTTTCTTTTCTCTTGGTTTTTTTTTTTTTTTTTTTAAACTTTTCGAGCCTCTGGGGCCCCGTCAGGTGACGGAATTTTCCAGTCCCGGCTCCTGCCGAGCTCTGCAGTCAGCTCTGACCTTTTGGCGTTTCTCGGGATTTATCTGCCGGCCTCATCTCCGGGGTTTTCTCAGCAGCTCCGCCTGTGCCTGCTGACATTTCACGGCTTCCCCCTGCCCTGCCGGGGCCCCAAAGCACAAAGCTCAGCTTCCCACCCCCAAAACCTCCTGCCCACGGGAAGGTTCCTCTGCTTTGGGCTCCAAAAAGTGGGGAGTCCACGAGGAAAATCCGAAAAAAATCTGATTTATTCCAGAAATCTTCACCCCAAATCCATCAAAACCTCGGGATCCTTCCCAAAACCCCACTCAGCACTCCATGGAAAGATTTTCCCATGTTTTGGGCTCTAAAAGTGGGGAGTCCACAGGATAATCCTATAAAAATCTGATTTCTCCCAGAAATCCTCACCCCAAATCCATCAAAACCTCGGGATCCTTCCCCAAAATTCACTCCATGGAAAGATTTTCCCCTCTTTGGCCTCCAAATTTGGTGACTCCGTGAGGAAAATCCTAAAAAAATCTGACATTTCCCAGAAACCTGGAGTGAAATCCTCACCCCAAATCCACCCAAACCCCTCTGAGCACAGCCCTGCTTTCCTCTAGGAAAAATTCCCCTTTCTGGGAATCAGAGATTCCAACCATAAATTCAAATTTGGGATGGAAAAATAAGAAAAAAACCATCCCGGATTTCCCTTTTCCACACCCTGGGGGTACCAAACTTTTTTGGGGGGAGAAAAATCCGTGGATTTTTGGGAATTTCCTCATCCAGAGACATCCCAAGGAATATTTGAGGGATTTGGGGGTTGGAGCCAGATGGGGAAATGAATTTTAATTACGTCAGGGGAGGTTTTTAGGTCGGGATTTCCTCATGGAAAAAAGGGTCAGGATTTGGAAAAAAAGGAGAAATTCCCATCCCTGGGGGTGTCCAAGGAATTTCTGGATACTCAGTGAGGGTCGGGGTTGGATTCTGATCCTGCAGATTTCCCAACCCAGGAATTCCTGGGAATTCTCTCTGCCCACATCTCCTGGACCCTTCCCCATAATTCCATAATTTCCTTTTTTTTT